GTTCCACTGACGAGTATCACACCACGTTCTGTGTGTCCATTGGCGCTGGCCTGGTGAAGGCCACGTACCAATCTACCATATTCAGTGACATTGGTGGTGGTAGCAACGCAAGGGGTCGCTGGTAGGGCACCGGAACCCCCCACAATCCTCGGCCATACGTGCGGCTCCACCGACGAGTATTACATACACCACGCTCCGTGTCCTTTGGCGCTGTGGACGGAGTGAGTAGGCTAGGAGGAAGTGGCATCGCCTGATGAGGGTGAGGGAGGTGGCGGCTGGCATGGTAAGAACAAAGCTTGGCTGAATGAGTGTGGGAAAGGTTGCTTTGTTGTGAGACGTTCATGCAGGCATAAAGCATGTCGAACGATGTGAGTCGTCAAGTTGGACTATAGACGTTCAGCTCGTAATAAGTTTATTGGTGATGCCAATGCCTCAAGTGTAAAACAGCATCGCACGTGACCACGCAGTGTCGGGTGTTTGTGATTGAGTGGTGACGGAACGATACAAATGTACATGCATCACAGCACCACCTCGACTTCATGGCATACATTGGTGCCACTCTAACATGGCCCCAAGACGTGCGCAAGGGCGAGGTTGTCAGGCCGTCTGAGAGCTTGCTCGATTAACGTTACACCGGCAACGTAACATGAAGTAAAGGTGACCATAGTGGGCCACACCACAGCTAGCTACTACTATTGTATTACTAAACACTAAGTAACATCACCGTTAATTTGAGGAAACTTTCGACGTTGAAACGTGTCCAGTCGACTCTGGCACCACCACCACCACTGAAAGCCCACTTGTGTAGCAGGTTATGGCAAGATCACACGTGTGACTTGCAATCGTACGAATTGTCAAGGAAATGCATCCTAAAAGTAGGAAGTTGCTGGCCATTCGTTAAAGGTGAAGCTCCAACACTGGTCGCAACGTCAGCTACAGTAACATTACAGTGAATTCAGATCCACCTGTTGTGCACCCACTACAAAAGAATGACATACACTGCACTCACAGTGTTCTGTGGCCCATCTGCATGCATGGCGGCGTCATTACCACGTATACTTGCATGTATGTTGCGCCAATACCGCTATTGTTCGTCTACATCGTTTTGCCTCCCGTGTACTCTTCGAAGGAGGCCTCCTTTTCAAGATCGTAGCATTGAAATTCCCTACTGTCCAGAAGTTGATATTTCGCCCAACACATCCAAATGTGGTGACTATGGCACCACCAATCTGACCACAAGCGGGATAAGTACTCAGAATCCAGCAAGTTTCCAGCTACAAGTCGAGATTTCAAGTCGCCGTTTCAACACACGCATGTAGCCAATGAGTGCGCGGCTACGTCGACCGAGCAAGGCCATTGGTCCAAGGCAAAGGTCACATTTCCATCCCAGTCATGGGATTGCCGCAACCTTGGCCAATACCTATACCATGGAAGACGTGGGTATAATCCCGTCCCCGTCTGTTAAGTAAGTACCTGACAAACTCCCAAATTTGGCGAGGCTCTTGAACTCAAGCCTTAGAACTTACTTTTCAATTTCCTTGTTTGCACGACAAACATGCTGAACCAATTAGCTTGGATTGCAGCCTTCGCTGCCACTGCGACTATCAGTGCCCCAACGACCGACCCCCCTCTCCCTACCTCGGGCGAAAAGCTCTTTGATGCATGGAAACCATTCTCGACCCCCCTCGTGATCCCCGAAGTGATCGACATGCGCAAGGGGGGTAGCCTCGACATGAACATTGGCGAAACCCGCCACGCGTGGGGCTCCGGCGCGCCCACGGCGGCCACCTACGGCTACGGCAAAGTGGGCGGCAACATCACCACGCCTGGCCCAACCATCCTCGTCAAGAAAGGCGTGCCCATCACCGTCACCTGGTACAACGCGATTAAATCGGCCAAGCACTTGTTGGACATGAACGTGGAAACGACGCTGACGATCCGCGAGTCGTCGTGCTACCCCCACTGCGGCGTGCCGGTGATCACACACGTCCACGGGCTAGAAACCCCCGCCCAATACGACGGCCTGCCGCACTTTTCAATCTACCGGAACCAGAGCTACACCGCTCGGTATAACAACACCCAATCAGGGTCGACCAAGATGTACCACGACCACGCCATCGGCCTCGGTCGGTTGAACATGTGGGCGGGGCTCGCGGGG